GGATGAGCGACGGCAGCGACGACGGCAGCGACGACGGCAGAGACGACGACGGCGATGACGACGCCGACGACGCCACCGACGACGACGGCAGCGGCGACGACGACGACGACGACGACGACGCCGGCAGCGACGACGGCGGCGTTCTCGGTCGCCCGCCGTCGCCGCGCCGCCGCCTCATCATCCCTCCGCCCCATCCCCCCCTCACCCTTTCTCCTCTCCCCCGCGTTTTCTTCCCTTCCCTCCCCTCCATCCCTCGCTAGTTTCCCCCCCTTCCCCCCCCTCCCCCTTTTTTTTTTTTTTCCCCCCCCCCTTCCCTCCCTCTCTCCCCCCCATTCCCCCTTTCGCATCCTCGAGCAATTTCTTGTTTCGCTTGAGACATCCTCCAACAAATCTCTCGTTTCGCTTGAGACATCCTCGACAAGTCTCTCGCTTCGCTTGGGACATCCTCGAGCAATTGCTTGTTTCGCTTGAGACCCCCTCTCCTCCATCCCCCCTCCGTCGTCGATCGATCCTAGGATCGAGAGTCCAAGGTTCTCGGGCCAGGGCTCTGAGATCTTGTGATCTCGGATCAACGATGGCCCGAGGCTCTCGGAGCCTCGATCCGAAGATCTATCGAGGATCGCGCCTCGACTGAGGCGTGCGAGACTCCCTCTCCCCCCTCCCCCCTCCGTCCTCGATCGATCCTCGGATCGAGAGTCCAAGGTTCTCGGGCCAGGGATCCGAGATCTTGCGATCTCGGATCAAAATTGCTGGTTTCGCTTGAGACATCCTGAAAAAAAGCGCGTTCGCTTCGCTTGATGTTGCTATCTCAACATAAGAAGGTAATGAAGTTCGGCCCCCGTGCCCCGCGCCCCTTACTAAACTCTTATTGGCCGTGGATAATCAACTTTATGAAGTTAAGGGGGGTGCCCCGCGCCCCTTACTAAACTCTTATTGGCCGTGGATAATCAACTTTATGAAGTTAAGGGGGGGGGGGGGGGGGGGGGGGGGGGGGGGGGGGGTACTTTATTATCCTCGGCATGGGGTTATCCACCGCCTGCGGAGGCTCCGAAAACTGACCCTCTCGGCGTTGGACGAACCTCCCTTTAGTATACCACGCTTTAGTGAAAACTGCCTCGGACCAACACAGACGGACCTGAACCCGCAAAAATGGCGGCCGCGACGCCCTCTCGCGAACGGACAACGGCAAATTTACTAATCGACGCGTCAGGGTAGGAGGTCCATCAAACTCCGTTCCTCCACGCGGTGGATGTGGATCCATTCCCGCCTCGGATCTATCCATATCCAACGCCTGGGAACCGACGCCCTGGTGCCTGGGGGCCCCGGGGGGCCCGAATATGTCCATATTTCGGCCCCCGGGGGCCGGAATATGTCCATATCCACCGCCTGCCGAGGCTCCGAAAACTGACCCTCCATGCGGTGGATCTCTCCATTTCCGCCTCGGATCCGAGGCTCCGAAACTGACCCTCCGCCTCGGATCTCTCTCCATCTCGGCGCACCCGAGGTCGCCGCGGGCTGGCGGGGCGGCCCGGTCCTCCGCGGGGGGGGGGGCCTCCGACCGCGCTGGGTCGGCCTGGCCCTGGAACCGGCCTGTCCCCCTACAGGTGGATTTTGGCTGAAAAATTTAAAAATTGCCCGAGTGGGCGCCCCCAACTGACAGACAAATGCCCCCCAAAATAATACACGCACAAACTATTTTGTTCACCGTCCTTGGGATCTCCCCCCTGTAGGGGGACAGGCCCGACTCAAGCCTGGCCCCTGCTGGGCGGCCGCCGAGCGCTCGCCCGCCCGGGCGGGCGGAGGGCCCGCCGCGCGCTGCGGCTCTGCTCTCCGGCGCAGTGCTCGCGGCCGGGCCCGAAGCCGAGCCGCGCGCCCGCCGACCGAGCCGGGGGCGGCCTCGGCGCCCGGCTCGGGGCCGCCCCTCGCGGCCCCGCGGGGCCCTGGATGGGGTCGCACGCGGCCCCTCTGGATCGCAGGGCCGAACCCAAACGGTGTGCTTCGTTCCCGTGTCTCGCGTTCGTTTTTGTGCCTCGTCGCGGCTTCCATCCGCCTCTGCCGCAAAACGAAGTCGAGACGACAAGGGCCCACGAAATCGCCCAGAGCACCGTTTGGGTCGAGCCCCCCTTGATCAGCTGGGCCCCTCTCGATCAGCTGGGCCCCCTCTTGAGCAGCTGGGCCCCTCTCGATCCGCCGTGCCTGGGCCGTCCAGGCGATGCCCGTTATATGCCCCAGATGGGGCCGCGCGCGCGCGGCGATTGGTGCGAGGTCGGGCCCGTCCTCCTACAGAGGGATTTTGGGCGAAAACTTGAGAATGCCCCCAGAGTACTACAGAAATGCCCCGAAATGGTTAAACAATCGTCCTCCTATTATTTGTTTTGACAATTTTTGAACATTCCCCCTGTAGAGGGACAGGCCCGACTTGAAATTCGCCTCGGGGGCCCGCGGCCGCTCGCGCTCGCGCCCCCCTTCCGCGGACGAGCCCCGGCACACGGCGCCGCTGGCCTCCGCCTGCCCGATCCGCGCCGGGAGCGCCAGGGGTCGGGCATGGACAACCCCCCCTTTAGCAAAACGTGGTTCAGTGAAAACAACCTCGGGCCCAAACCTGGGCCCCTCTTGATCAACTGAGCCCCTCTCGATCAGCTGGGCCCCCTCTCGATCAGCTGGGCCCCTCTCGATCAGCCGGGCCTGGGCCGTCCAGTCGATGCCCTTCGCGCCGCCGATGGGACCGCGCGCGTGCACGCGCGCGTGGCGATTGGTCTCGACATCGGGGATGGACAGACCCCCCTTCAGCAAAACGTGGTTTGGTGAAACAACCTCGGGCACAATCCTGGCGTGCGCAGGCCTGGAGAATGACGGCCGCGGCGCCCTCCTCCTCCTCCTCCTCCTCCTCCTCCTCGCACCGGGCGCGACCGCGCGCGCCGCTTCCTGCTCCTTGCAAGAGGACAGAGAGAAGAAGGATCTGTGTACCAACTGCGGATATCCTGGAACTAAGTGAATTCAACGTAAATTCACGCACGGCATGAAGCATACGTTCAGGTCTCAGAAAGTGCCGCAGCGATGTCGTCGTCCTGCGGAAGCGCACGAGTGGCAAAAAGGTTCACCCTCCCGAAAGCAGGACCTTTTTCGGAGGCTCAGAAAACCCGAGGGATTTGGAAAGCGAGGGGGGTAAAACTTCGCGTCGTTTCCAGGAGGTGGGCACAGACCCCTGAACGTTTGTTACATGTATGTATGAAGCGACGTATCATGATATGTGTGGAGATATGTATTTTTGTGTGATGATATGTATGTATGTGACTATGGTGTACGTATGTATGATGACGTGTATGGACGGGAACAGTGAAGGCGTTATCATGTATGTGTAATCTAAGTTTGATTGTGAATATATAGATATGTTCGAAGTGTACAGGTACATGCAACATGTGTGGCCTAAGTACAAATGACATAAGTAGGTATGATATTAGTGTACGCAAGTATGTTTCATATAAACGTGTGGCCCTAGGAACCCCAAGGAATCCCTAGAACCTCTGGGTGTAAGAATCCATAGGAAACCCTAGAAGACCGCAGGTGTCCCCAGAACCCACAGGAATCCCTACAACCCCCAGGACAGCCAAACCCCCAGGAGTAGAGGACCCCTCGGAAGCAGAATTCCGAAAACCCTTGGGAATCCACAGAAATCCCGAGAAACCCGCGGGAGTAAAAATCCCCAGGGACCCGTAGGGGCACGAAGTATCCATAGCAAAGCGCAAGACACCCCTAGGAAGCCCTGGGAGTAAGAATCCCTAGGAACCACTAGGATTACGAGGAACCCATAAGAATCCCTAGGAACGTGTAGGGTTACCAGGAAGGCATACGAATCCCTAGGAACCCCTAGGAATCCCTCGGAATCCCTAAGAGTCAAAAGCCCCAGAACCCTGTGGAACTCCCTAGGTATGCCCAGACACCCTGAGGAACAAGAGCCCCTAGGAACCCGTACGGTTAGTAGGAATCCGTAGGAATCCGTAGGAAGGTAAGTATGTCACCAGCGCAGAGCATCGAATCGCACATCATCACCAGCGCAGAAGATCATCAACAACAATGGTGTGTTATGGACTCCCTTCGTACTACATCTAGTAGTAGTGGTAGCACCAGGTAGCAGTGGCAGTGAAAGTGGTCGGTCGGAGGAGGGAATGTTTTCTCTCCGCCCGCCCCTTGCGCAGAGGGCCCCTCTCTGTTTCCAGGTCCGCGCGCCCCGTGCGCGGAGGGCCCGTCTGTGTCCCCAGGTCCGCGCGTCCCGTGCGCGGAGTGCCCCTCTGATGATGGTTCAAGAGCTCCGCACGCACGCAAGACCGAGCGACCCCCAAACGGCCTCTCCAGATCCTACATCACCAGCGCCACCATCATCATCGTCGTCACCGTCGCCATCCGAATCTGCACAAGCTTCACCACCATCAACATCATCATACTCGCCGTCACCAACCTGGCCGCGCACACGGAAATTGCTCACTGGTAACACCTCATTTTCATTCATTTAAAGCTCTTGTGGTGGAGCAAGGCCACGTGTCCATTGATGCCATTTCAGGGTGCGCGCGGGCGTGCCCGGCGCCCTCCTCCTCCTCCTCCTCCTCCTCCTCCTCCTCCTCCTCCTCCTCCTCCTCCTCCTCCCTCCTCCTCCTACCTCCTCCTCTCCTCCTCCTCCCTCCTCCTCCTCCTCCTCTCCTCCTCCCTCATCTCCTTTTTCTCCTCCTCTCCTCCTCCTCTCCTCCTCCTCCTCCTCCTCCTCCTCCTCCTCCTCCTCCTCCTCTCGAGAACCGAAGGCGGACAGTTCGCTCATCGACGTGTCGGGGCAGGAGGTCTGTCCATCCCCCGAGGAGGGCGCCGAGGGCGGGGCTCCACGCGTCGGCGGGCATCGAGCATTAGGCCTCGGTTGGGCATGTCCCCCTACAGGCCGATATTTTTGGGGACGAAGCATATCAACAAAAATCAAGAAACATTCAACAATGACCAGAACAGATTCCAAACAAATCCTCCCATGACTATGTCCTTACTAGCTTTGAATCTTCCTTCCATCGCGGCAATGGGAGAAATTGGCCACCGAGGGGGGCCAGGCCGGAAGGGCCGCGTGGACCTATTCCCCCCCCGCCGCATGAGGCCACCCCGCAGGCGATCCTGTTCGAGACGGCCGCCGAGAAACGAGCGGCCTGTAAGAAGTAAGTCGGGCCTGTCACCCTACAGGGAGAAGATTTAGAAATAGTCAAAAAGTAGTCTGGGGACGATTTGTTTAAAACCATGTTTGGGCATTGTTGGAATATGTTTGGGGGTAATTATAATTTTTCGCCCAAGATCCCCCTGTAGGGGGACAGGCCCGACCTAATGCAAGAGGTGCTTCGCGCGCCCGTGCGCAGCCCGTTGAAGAGCTCCATCCCCGGAGCGCGCCGCACACCTCCACCGTGAGTGTGTCGCGCTCTGATCACCGAATCGTTGAGCAGAGACCAACCGTCCCGGCATTCCTGCAGTCCTACCACGAAATGTTCTTAGAGCCCACGAGTGAACAAAGGCAATGTCCTTATAGCATAAACCCGATGTGATATAACAAAACAGACTCCGCCAGAAATGCTCTAAGAGCATGCCGCTGGAACCTCAAAAGGTTCTTAACACATTGTTTGGCAGGGCTATCGGCGAGCCAGGACGCTTCGCCACAGCTTGAAATCGAGGCCACCACCCCCTGCCGGGCCACCTCGTCCTCGTCCCGACGGAGCCCTCGACGGTGTGGAGCATGCGCTCGTTGTCGAGGTGCTGCTGCTCCTGGCCGGCCTGAAGGGCCTGCGCGTGGGCCTCGGCGGGCTGAGGCGCTATGGCGGCTCGGCGCCGCGGGCGCCCGCTGCGGAGCTCCGCTCTGGCCGCCCGCTGCGGAGCTCCGCTCTGGCCGCCCGCCGTGGGCGCCCTGGCTGGCGAAGAGCCCAGGCACACTGGGCACCATTCCGATGGGCAGGCCTGCCTGGGCCGGGCGGGGCACCATTCCGACGTCCGCGTGTGGCAGGTGGCGGGTCCACCGGTCCACAGGGCCGCGGGGGCGGGGGGGAGCGACGCCTGCGGCTGCGCCAACTGGCTGCTGGCGAGCTGGCTGCCAGTGAGCCTCTCCCTCGGCGGGGGGCTGCTGCTGGGGCGTGGAGGCTGAGCTTCAGGTGCCTGGCAGCTGCGGGCGCGCGGGCAGATCCGGCCGCCGCGGCGGGCCCCTCCTTGAGCCTCTTCGCTGCGCGCGGTGGCCGCCAGATGCATAGCTTGGCGGCGGGTGCTCCAGCGCGGCGCCCGCCTCCTCGTCGAGGCCCGCGGCTGCACCCCGGATGGCGGCCGCGTCGTCGGAGCCGTGAGAGCAGGCGTCGAGGTGGACCCCCAGTCCCCCCGCGCGGCCGCGCTGGCACCCTCGTCGGCGGGGGCCCTGGACTCCGAAGACGCCCGCCGGGGCTTCTCGACCC